AACAACAAACTATTTAACCTCTCTTACTGAGTAACTCTTACTTTGCAGTTCTTCTGACGGGTTTTCACGCGCCTCCTTCATTTTTAAGAATTCCATCTGCATTGGTTCAGCAACCTGGAAGAGCAAACAAAAAAGGAGCCAATGAGATCTGATAATCAAAGAGCTATGAAATGAGTGTGGGAAAATTGGAGACATAGAAAGCCAGAGCCTCCGAAAGAGGTTTGAACCTGTAAGTGAAACATCCCACCTACCGGTACACTGGGGATCATACAATGTACAGGTACAAGGTTCAACCCTATCTGGGAGTCTGGATATTTACGATTGTCCCATGATCATGAAATATATAACATGTAGCTGACTAAAATCTTGTCATTACTGACAGTCACTGTTTACTGAGGATTAACCCAAATGATTTCATGAAATCAGAATGATGCAGCACTAACACAATAAACCTCATTGTAGGAAATATATAAAACCAATGAGAAATTAATAATTATTAGTATTGTGACTTCCGTAATTAAGGACAGGTAACTATACCTCATTGGGAAATTTTCTGTGGTAATCTTTCAGACTTCTAAGGCGGCTGTAAAATTCAGCAAACTCGTTTGGTCCAGACAGGGCTGCCACTTCTTCTTTGCGTAAACTAGCAAAAACCAGAAAGCAGCTTGAATTCACAATACTACATGGCACAATTTACTTTCTCGGCAATGATTCAAAGACATGTACGTGTAGCAAGTATTTCTGTTCCCATAGACTTAAGAAGCAAGAAGGATAAGAGGTTCCACAAGTTCAGGAGTTTCAAAAAGGGCCAGGCACCAGGCAAATTAACTGTCCATGAGGATGACTTTGCATGACTGTGTGGTTTGATCATCTAGAGGAGAGTTTTATCTTAAAAAGAAGTTCAGTTCAAAAAGTTTTGCCTGCCTGTGAAAACCAGTTGCCTTCCTGCTGAAAATGTTGATGAAACTCCTGGAGCTTACATGTTACCCTGATTTCAATGCCGCAGTTTGTACATATCACATTTTCCCAACAGTCCCACAGTACTAAGTTCCTGGGTAAAGAGAGATGCTGTGATCATGAAGATAGTGTGTTTCCCTGAGAATACAACAAATTAACTCTGGCCATGGTTCAAACTCACACCAGAAAACCCCATCCAGAGACAAATAAACTAAACATTATGCTATATGTCTACTTAGGTGGCTAAATGTAATTTAGGCAAAGTCTGACTTAAGTCAATGCTGGTGAGTGACCTTCTGGGGTACCTGAGCTCAATTTGGGGTCTCACATGGGGTATTGCAGGACTTACATGTTTTGCATTCTAGCTGTGTTAGAACATGCAGTTAGTTCAAGTGCTATTGTGCTTGTGGC